ATCGTTGCAGAAAGAAAGCTGCAAAGTGCCTGACTAAAGTCTGAGCATTTCTCAAATGTGCTCCAAAAAGATGTGATACAATTTGAATCAGTGCTACATTAAGTTTCAGTTTTAACGTGTTCCAATAGTTTCAAGGGTTTGTGGAACTATGCTCCAGTCCCATAATGCAGACAGCAATCCAAATGTTACATACCAACAACTATCAAATCAACAGCTGAGACATTCTGGTAAAGGCCATCTTTGAGAGAGGACTTTTTGTTTTATACAAACCTTGACTGGTGATGACCGTCCTGACTGCTAGACCCTTTATCTTCTCCCTCTTCAAGGCATCTTCAATCTCTGCACATTGGAGACGGTACTGTGACAGTATGACAATCTTCTCAGGCTTCACTTGGAGTCGTTTCACCAAAGTAATGGCCATGCGCACCTGGGGGGGTACAGACAACAGAGAACTCAAAATTCTTACCAGGAGTTTTTTTTTGGGGGGGGGAAGAGGAGATGGCTTTGCAAGGACTACATGATGTAAACTTAACTATTTTTGTTCCAGATTTTATCATTAAAAGTATTTAGTTCATCAAGAGCAAGTTAAGAAAAATACAAGAAAGCACATGAATCTCAAAGGGACAAAGTAACTTTCACAAGAAAAAATGGCAATATCAATGCATCTGGACTGTATGAAAATAAGCGGTAGCATTTTTTTGACTTTTACATTTTTCAACCTTGTTTAATGTTTCCTGACACCTCAGGGCATTTGCAAGTGCAGTATCCCAACTATGCCACTGCACATCAAAAATGTGACAATGTTTAACTTGGGGCATAAGCAGAGTAGGCAATCGCACAAACGTTTCAGCGAGATTTGGTGGTACGCAAAGATAGAAATTTTCATCCAAAAAATGTAAGAGTCAATTTTTTTCTAAATGTTTGCACCAGAACAGAACATTGGTCACGCAGGCTCACAATATCCTATACCATACACCTGAAGATGTACATATACAAGACGTTTTCCCACCAGACAACTCTGGTTGCTGTGTAAAATCATGCCCTCACTTGTCAGAGTGGATTATGAAC